CATTCTAATAATCTATTTCCCTGTTTTCTCTCTTTCGTCTCCAATCCATTCTTTGCAGAGCTGCCAAAATAATCTTCCTAACCTGTGTGACTTTCTAACCCACTCCCATATTCAAAAGCTTTCAGGGACTCCCTATTAATTCACAGGATGAATAGATTATAAGGAATCTTAGAGACTACCTAGTCCACAGACTTCTTTTTACATGCGAGTAACTGAAACCCATAGAGGTAGAGTGACCCAAGGTCATACATGTAATAAGAAACAGAAACTGTATCTGAACCAAGGTCCTCTGACTCCAGATCCAGAACTCATTTCACAATACCATGCTAACTGTAAGATAAGCTATGACTCCTTGGTTTGGAATTTAAGAACCTCCACAACATGGCGCCAACTTCCTTTTCCAATCCTATTTCAGACTATTCCCTTTTCCATAGTCTTCATCCTATAATTCTCTATAATTCTCCTAAATGTAGTCCTGCCCTCCTCTGCCTCTAAACATTCACACGGCTAATCCTTTATGCCTAGGATACATACTCTCCACGTGCTGCTGCTGCTGCTGCTGCTGCCTCCTCCTTATGTTTTGAGAACCTTGTCCTCCAGGCCACGTTCAGGTGCCATATCTTCCACGAAGTCTTTCTTGATTTCCTTGACTAAAACTGCATACTTCTTTTGCCTTCATCACATTTTACCTTGTATCGTGTGTGTGTGTGTGTGTGTGTGTGTGTGTGTGTGTGTGTGTGTGTATGTGTGTATCACATTCACTTAACAGACTACAAACTGGTTAAAAGCAGGACCATCATTTTGATCCCCAGTGACTAAGTACACAATGATTTACCCTTTGTAGATGACTAATACTTATTAAATCAAATGAGATGGAGTTGATGTGGAAATCCTCAAAGATTCATTTCTCCCAATTCCCAATTTTACTTGGAGTCTTTCCTTTATACATTTATTTTTCCTTATGTCTCACCCTCCTCTCTCAGAGAGTTTAATGATGGAGAGATTGTTTAATAATGGTTAAGCCAGAGCAACAGATGCCATAACATAAAGAAAAATTCAGTTTTTATTTAAAAACACATGAGGCCATAATTCATCATGGTATGTATTAAACTCAAGATGTTAACGGACAGAATCACAGAATCTCAGAGTTGGAAAGTTCCTCAGAGGCCATCTGAGACAGTCCACACCCAAACTAGTATTCTCTGTACAACAACACATGACAAGTGGGCATCCAATCTCCTCTAAAAAATGTCCCATGAGGGGAAAAACCCACAGTTCCTTGAGGAAGCCCATTAAATTCTGGAAAGCTCTGTTAGGAAGATTTTCATTATATCTGTCCACTGTTCTGAGGTCTACTTTCTGGGGCCAAACAAAAATCTAAACCCCTCTTCAAATCTATTACCCCTTCAAATACATAATTGAACATAGCTATCATACTTATCTTAGCTATCATACTTAATCTTATTTTTAAGTACACTCTTGTGGAAAGAGCACTGGACCGAGAGTCAGAAGATCGAGCTGTTTGTCCTATTTCTACCACTAACTGCCTATGAGATTTAGGGAAGTCATTTCCCTCCTCTAGGCCTCAGTATTTTTTTTTTTCATCTATAAAAGGAGGGAACTAGATTGAAAGATCTCCAACATAACTTTTAGTCCTAAAGTCTTATAATTTATAACCTTAAAACTTATTATACTGCATGAAAGGTTGTTAAACTTGATGATATCTATGTTACGAAAATCAAAAAAGGAAAAGGTACATCCAAGCAGAAAACTTTGCTCAAAGTAACACTAGGCATACCATTTCAGGACAGTGATAAAAACTCATCTGAAATATGCATTTTCCCAGTCAATCAACTTAATTCAAGGAGTATTTATTAAATTCCTACCATATGCAAAGAAGGGATGATATAAAGCCAAAAACACTGAATAACGATCATAGTAATAATAATAATAATAATAATAATAATAATAAACTAATAGCTAACATTTATTTAGTACTTTAAGGTTTACAAAGTACTGTACATATGCCATATGCCATCTAGAGCAATGCCATTTTGGTCCTCTTCAAGCACGAATGGCAACAAGAAACCAACCAACCAGTATTGTTATTATTCCTATTCTACAGATGAGGAAACTGAGGCAAGCAAAGGTGAAGTGACTTCTCTAGGGTCCCACAGTTAGTGTTTGAGGCAGGTTTTGAATCAGGACTTCCTGAATGCAAATCCAGTGCTCTCTGCACTATTCCACATAGCTACCTAAAAGATCCCAGCCTGAAAGCGAAGAGTTTATATTTGTTAATATTTAGGGGTGTGGGGAAAAAAGGGAGTGGTATGGGTTACAACATGTAAAAAAAATAATACAAGAAATTAAGGAGAGAGAAAAACATTAACTGGGATGATCAGAAAAGGTTACCTTTAGGAGGCAATTACTTACTCCATTAATGCAGTTGCCTGGAATGTTATCCCACCTCACTCCATCTCCCAGAATCCTAAGTTCAGGTGGTCATCTCCTACTCCAGGTCTTTCCTGACACCTCCTTCTCCCCCTCCCATTGTTAATATTCTCCCTTCTGATATTACTTTATATTTATTTATTTCCAGTCTTCCTCCCAATAAAATGTAAGCTCATTGAGGACACAGACTTCTTGAATTCTGGCAACCCAACTGGCTATAACAGGAAAACTACTTACATGACTCAAGAAAGAAAATAAGATAGGTTTCTAATTTAGATTTCACTGCAGAATGCAAATTATTATTGTACTACTTGGCAAAAAAAGAAAAAGAAAAAACTCAGTAACTATTTAATGTGATTTTATTTTAAAATAAAGAAGAACCACTCAAGTGTTCTGAAAATACTATTAATGATCACAGGCCAGGCATGATATTTTCAGTATTTAACAACATACACTCCCTACATATTTAATAATTCTTTACATGGTAAAGGAGAAATTCTGTGTTTGTTACATGATGTTGTGGAAAGGACACGCCAATGATCCTATAAAAGTGAACACCAGGGATCTTCTCTCAATATTTCAGCCATCATCTTGGAGATTCTACTTGCAAAATCTCTACAGATTTAGATAACTTCTTTTGAGTCCACTCATCAATGGACAATGAGAATGTTAACTATGAAAAAAAAATTAGAACTTTGCAACTACCTCAAACTTTGTGTCTTTGGGCATAGCATAAAAACCTAGTGGACCTCTGAATTTGGGACCAAAATTTGCCATGTTGCCCAGGCTTTAAAGTGTATGAAGGCTAAGACCATCTATCAGAGGAACATTAAAATCTAGAAAAGATATCACAGTTGGAGAGACAGTGCCAATGAAGCTTCCAATCATTCTATAAACCTACCAGCAACAGTCTTAACAGAAAGCTCTATCTACTAAGAACTTGGGATTCAGAAAAATTGGGACACTAATTTATTGTTGGTGGAATTGTGAACTGATCCAACCATTTTGGAGAGTAATCTGAAATTATACACAAAGAATTTTTAAAATATCTATACTTTTGACATAGCAATACCACTACTAGGTCTGTTTCCAAAGATGATTAGGGAAAAAGGAAAAGAACACATATGCTCTAAAATGTTTATAATAGCAGCTCTCTTTGTGGTGGCAAGAACTGGAATTTGCAGGGATGCCTATCAATTGGGGAATGACTGAACAAGTTGTGGTATATTATTGTGATGGAATACTACTGTGCTATAAGAAATGATAATCTCTATGATCTTCAAAAACCAGGTATAGACTTGCATGAAATAATGAAGAGTGAAATGAACAGAACCAAGAGAACACTGTATACAGTAACAGCAATACTGTTTTAAGAACAACTTTGAGAAAATAAGTTATTTTGACCATTATAAATGCCCAAATTAAATATAAAGGATATATGAAGAAAGACGATATCTACATCCAGAGAAAGAACTGATAAATAGATGTATGGAATAATTTTACACGTGTGTGTGTGTGTGTGTGTGTGTGTGTGTGTACACACCTATTTGTGGCCATCTCAGGAGAGGGGGAGGAGTGAAGAAAGAAATTGACATAATAATTTTGTTGTATATTTAAAAGGAATAGCAAGTTGTATGTAGCAGATTTGTAGTTTCATGTGCAAACATCTTTTTTTATTATAGTGTGTTATGGAAATGCTTCTTTTATCCCACAAATTAAAAAATAAATAAATAAATAAATAAAGAACTTGTCCTTGGAACACTTTCTAAAGTCTCTAAACATTTCTTCTTTTCCTTCCTTGCCTCTCATATTTTAAAAACAATGTTAAAGGTTGGATGAACTATGTTTAAAGTTCTTCCTTAAAGCACCTCAAATTTAAATAAAGCCACCACCACAACCACACCTCAAGGATGACCATGAATATAACTGCCAAACTATCTCAATCAACTTAAGTTCCTGGTTGTGATTTCATACTATTGACCCATTAGGGAGGCCTATGGCATACAATATCATTTTGATGGCCAAGAAAGTCACAGAACATCTTTACCCATCTCGTCCTTATACTTATAGGCTGCTCATGTACAGAAGACAGATAAATGAAAAGATTGATACTTATTTCCCACAATGTTGAGGTAGTTTTAAACCCCCTAATGTACTTCAATTGCCTGTCATAGGTCGACATTAGTAAACCTTACACACCCATTTGCCAACACCTGCCACTCCATGAGATGGGTAAAAATTATATCCTCTATTTTCATTTCATTTTTGCCCTGCTCCAACAGATAGAGAAAAATAGATTAAACATACAGTCCATATCGCTCACAGAACAATGGGATTTTTAACCTTTAAGTCCTGTTTACCAACTGGCAGAAATTATTCCAGAACATCTCTCTCTTTGAACTACCTACTTGGAATTCAAAGAAGGAAGACTAGGGAACCACAGAACACTTTTTCAATCAATTATCCCACTAATATAGTGTGCCTGTGGAATAATAACATTTGGAAGAGACTACCACAGTTTGCAAGATAAGTAGCCAACTCATTCTTACCAGGGTCAGTGCAGTTTTTACCAGGCAAGGGTTCTGTATTCTCTGGAATCAAGGTAGCATTCTCTTGCAGTAATCTCCTCCCACTCCATTTGTCACTTGTTTCCATATAGTCAAAGATATAATAACCTATGGAGAAAGAGGCAATAGTCCTATTATTATTATAAGACAAATGCCTTAGAAGCATTATTACTCTTCACAATCATGCCCTTCAATCAAGTACATCAACAGAATCATCCCTGTTTGAGAGGTGGAGACTAGAAGGCTCAAGCATGTCAATTCACTTTATTCAGGATCACTCAGTATCTTGACCTTATATTAAAAAATATAACCTATAACCCACTCCAGTTCCTAGCCAACACTGTCTCTGCTTTACTGGCTTTGAAAGTGAAACCAATCTACTTTCTAGTACATCACGCACGACACAGCAGTTTGACATAGCAGATAGAAAGGAATCCCCAAATATATGCAAAGTACAACTGACAAGTATTGATGTGTGTGTATATGAATATATGTCATCCAGGACATAACCAAGAAAAATAACCTCAGGATAATGTTATAGACTAGATCAATGATTCTTAAAATGTGCGCTGCATTCCTTCGAGGTCCCTGAGACCCTTTCTGGGGATCTCTGAGGTCAAAATTATTTTTATAATAAAACTAAGATGTTATTTGCCTATTAAAATACTCTTCCCTTTCCAACTCTATATAAGTCTGAGGCCATATTTTCTTTCAACTGAGAAAACATATCACAACAGATTAAATGCAGAAACAGATATGAGAATCCAGCTGTCTTTTATTAAACCAGACATTAATGAGATTTGCAAAAAAATAAAATAATGCTAGTCTTCTCACTAATTTCTTTTGTTTTGAAAAATATACTTTTCATAAAATATACTATTTATGTTAACATGCAATGAGTTTATTATTTTAAATGAATTAATATTTATAAAACTTCCATTTTAATTTCAAATATGGTAAATATTGATATATATAACTCACATAAATAAAAGTTCTTTGAGGTCCTCAATGATTTTTAAGAGTGCAAAGAGATCAAAAAGTGTGAGAATGGCTAGACTACATCAATGGGTAAAAGATCACCTTTGTAAGTTATCTTAAACCTATGCTGCCACCATAATGAAGAAGGAAAATGTAAACTTTGAAGACTGGAAGAAATATCTGGATTATAGCTGCTCTTATTATTATTAGGTCAAATTAAGCCACCATAATTATTGGAATTAAAGACAGGGTGTCCTTAAATCCTCAAAGTCAAGAAGACCAAGGTTTAAGTTCTGACTCTGACACATATTGTCTGTGTTACCCTGGGAAAGTCATTTAACCACTCCATGACCCAAGCAATTCTCTTAGACAATAAATAGCAGGGAAAGGACTCATCTACTTTGAGAGTTCATCATCAAGAGCTCCCTACAGCAATGGAGGCATTGGACCTGTCTCTGCCTCCCCACCACTGGCCTGCCTGGCTTCCCCACAAAATCTCTAAACATACCACTCTCTAATGTAAATGGTTGTCTTGTCTCTATGAATATTTAATCTTTGAACCCTTTTTATGTGATTATTAGTTTACATTTGTTTGGAGCTTTGTTGATTTACAAAGCATTTTCCCCACAACAACCCAGTAGGGTATTTAGTAGAGTGATATTATCTCCATTTCACCAATGAGGAATTTGAAACAGATTAAGTGAGTGGACCCAGCTGAGCTCAGAACTGGGATTCCAACCTCAGTCTCCTGACTCCACATCCAGTCCCATCTCCACTATATGGCAAATGGGAAAGAAGACAAAACCCAGACTCAAATGAAGGGAATGTTATTTATGCAGCAGATTTTCCTAGGGGGTGGGTAACAAATTAAATCAATTTGTAGCAGGATTTATTTTTAAGGAGAAGGAAATCAAGAACTAGCCTGTGTGTAGGAAAAGTCCTGGACTTGAGTCAGAAAGCCTGAGTTCAAGCTCCTGCTGTTTAGAACTCTCTCCTTCCTTATCCTCACCTTCTCTATTTCCTGGCTGCATTAAAGTCTCAGTTAAAATCCCACTCTCTCTGCAAGATGCCTTTCCCTATCCCCTTTAATGCTAATGCCTTGCTTTCAGCTGGTTATATCCAAATGATCCTGTATATAGCTTGTTTGTGCATAATTGTTTGGATATTGTCTCTTCCATTAGACTATGAGCTCCTTGACAGCAGGGACTGTCTTTTACCTTTCTTTATATCACCCTAACTTAGCACAGTGCCTGGTCCATAGTGTTTAATAAATACACGTTGACTGATTGACTCATTGATGTCAGCAAGTTAAGCCTGTTTTCTCCTTTGTAATTTAATAACCTCTGTCCCACCTATCTCATGAGATCAAATGAGATAATAAACATGAAAGTGTCTTATCAACTACAGATCAATATGAAAAATATAAAGTATTGTTATGATTATTATTAGCAGAGGAATAAAAAGTAAAAAGATCACATTAGAGGTCTAGAATCAAAGCCACTGGACATCAGAGGAGAAGAACAGGCTAGATCAAATTAGATTAGATAAAGCAGGGAGGTGGCATGGTGCATCAAGTCTGGAGTCAGGAAGATTCAGTTTCATGAGTTCAAATCTGTCCTCAAACACTTACTAGCTGTGTGACTCTGGGCAAGTCACTTAACCCTGTTTGCCTCAGTTTCCTCATTTATAAAAGAGCCGGAGAAGGAAACGACAAAACCACTCCAGTATCTTTGCCAAGAAAACCCTAAATGGGGTCACGAAGAGTTGGACATGACTGAAAATGACTGAACAATAACAAATGTGCTGGACATTGTGCTGACATCTGGTAATACAGATAGAATCAAAATGAAAGAGACCCACCACCCTCGAGAAGCTTACATTCTAACACAGGAAGATTATGCATAAAAGAAAGATGAAAATGACTGTGGGGACTGAGACTCAGATTAAGTGAGTTGACCTAAGGTCAGAATTAGGATTCTAACCTCAGTCTCCTGAATATTCACTACATGACAAACAGGAAAAGAGCCAAATCCCAGACTCAAATGGAAGGAATATTACGTAGCAGATTTTAAACCAAGTTGGGAAAGTAGAGCTGAGCCAGGTTAGAAGTGAGGATGGCTCTAAAAAGTACTTGGGAAGGAAGAAAGAAAGAGAGGGGGAAAGAAGGGTGAATGGAGTGGGGGAGGGAGGGGGGATTGTCTCCCTTGATATAAATTGTAATTATTTGGCAGCTTAGAGTTGGATTGTTGAGTACAGCTAGGGACTGAGAAAGGAAAAGAAAGGTAATCTAAACCACAAAGAAATACTATTATTGAATCTAGAAGCTCCTCCCTAAAGTAAAAAGCAGTGAGGGAAATTGCTATTAAAACTTTAACAGGTAAACGCTGAATAAAAAAAAAACTAAAAACATTTTCATTTGGTTTCAGAATTTATTTCTCTCTTATGTGCCTTTATTCATGTGTTATGTGCTTTTGATGGACAAGAATGACACACTACTTTTTTTTTAAAGAATTGTTTTTCTCTATACATCTCACATCAGTTCTTGTTCTGTGTACCTTCTCCTCATTAGCCTAAAACCTCCTGGAGGGCAGAAGTCATATATATAATAGCATTTAGCAGTATCCAAATTCCACCCCTGATCTTCAGAGGGCAAATAGATGCATTTCAACCACTCCTAAAGCAGTTTCGGCCAGGCAATGAGTAAGAAATCCTGGGGTTTCGGGCATTAGGTACCACCTGGGATAAAGCTGGTAAACCAAGAGCACTGAACATCTTTGCAAAATTATCTTACAACTTAAAGTCTGCTCACTGACCAGAACTTGGGCCTTTTAGTGCATTTCCTCTCTGTCTCTTGCCTTTCATTAGTGACCAGAGGAACAGCTAGCCCTGTTCCCATTAGCAGCAGAGAGCTGTCAATTCCTTGGACCTTGTCATCTTTAATAAGCTCCCATTTAGAAGCTGATGTGAAGGTACTTATTTCTAAGGCAGGGTAAGATGGGGCTGTACATGAAGGAATCGTATCATAAAAGGAGATAGTGCTAAGGGGATTTGCATGGGCATTTGAGAGATCCCAGGTGCCCACCCAGGACAGTCAATTACCTCATCCGTACTGGTACTAACTCACCTTCCTCGAAATATCTACATCAAGTCAATTAAATGGGAAAAGCTAAAACAAAGCCAAAAATTTATTCATTGAATGTATTTTGGTGAAGAGAAAGGAAGAAGTTAAGATCTTTGATTTCATTGGTCCAGGGTGGAAACTCTCCACTGGTGCAGATGAGAATCTCCAATTTATAATCTGAGAGAACTGTCTGGGGCACTGAGAAGCTGTATCTCAGCCACTGTCACCTAACTAATATATGTCAGAATTTGAAATCAAATCTTCCTGACTCTGAAGTTGGCCCTCTATATTCAAGCCATACTTGTTAATTGCATTAAGTACTTAGTTAAATGTTTGCACGATGTCAGTCAACAAATCCCAGAAGACACAGAATTGTACTCGGAGCTAATGTATATATATACATGTATGATGTATACTATATGCTATACTCTAAATATATTTACTATATATATATATGCTATATACCTACACATATATACATTTACAATAGTAAATGCCATATTTCTTTACACCAAGGTATACTATCAGCACCCAATAGACAGACACTGTGAACGTAGATAACAGAATTTCAGAAATGAAATATCCTTAGAGTTCAACTACATCATTTTACAGATAAGGAGATTGAATCCCAAAGACATCAAAGAACTTGCCCATGGTCAAACAGCTGGTTAATGACACAGCCCAATCTGGAATACAATCTCATTCCAGCTCCTTCCCCCACATCACCAGATTGTCCTATCTAAATGACATGAGTGTCTTACACAGTAACTGGTACTGCTTATTCAACGTCTTAAAAACCATTAACTGGTCGGCTCATTTTCTGGTATATCTCTTAAAGTTCCACTTTAAGAAAAAAATGGATAGGGTGACTGAATAGAAGTACGTGACCTGAGCATCTCTGCTACTTCGCTGACACATTTCAAGTTATAGTCCCCTGTAAGAAAGTCAGCATAAATTGTGGCAAGACCATCTCCACCTCAAACCATTCTCACCCATTTTGTTGTACGCT